CTGTAGCTCTGATTCAGCAGCTGCTGACACCTGCTGAAACACGCCCCGGAGACAGTGGACACTGGGCCAAGAGGCCAAATCTACAGTCTAAAAATACATCTGTGCTGCTGCTCTCACGAACCATAACCTTGGGTTTAGTGAAGAACTGTTAATACCATTAGAAGAAAAAAAAAATCCCATGTGAGATCTTTTTTTTTTTCTGCTCCGGTTTTATATAAACAATAGAGAGAGAGAAAAATCTAACAATGCTATAAAAATCTTTAACTTTCTGAAGACACTTTTCACTCTCCAACACCTGGTGTTCTTCTCGTGACAGACGCTTTCACTTCTGTCGATAATGTTCACTGAGGGGGGGAAAAAAAAAGATGCCGTATTTGTGTTCGATCGGGACTACGGACAACGTCTGCGGTAGTCAAATGTGGCAATTATTCAAGACCAAGAACACTGGACACGTTTCCAGATCTTTCCTCTCCTTTATTCTATTCACCACATTGACACCGGCACAAAGGTCTGCAGACAGACCTTCTGATAAACTTCCTTCCCTTTCAACCTTCGTCTTCCGCCCGAACACTCCATTATGTGTAACTTTATACAGCGCCCGGTCGACCATTGCCTGGCATTCAGCCACAGTCTGGAGCCAGTCTTTGTGTTTGTCTTTTCTTTAATCCCACTTCTATACAACGACAACACAACGGCATGACCAACATTGTGTAACTGATCTGCCAAAGGCCTGATGCCAGAGACCTGCTTCTGGAAATCAGACTCTTCTCAGTTACTCTAACAGGATTAGGACTCGAACGAGGACAATCTTCGTCATGTCATTTTGCCGGAGAAACGTGTCGTTTGAAGTTTACTTGTAGTAAAAAAAGATAATAATATAATGTTGAAAAGAGGAAATCATTTTTAATTGCATGATTGTCTCTGGAACCGTACTTTCATATCCTGGGAAATCATGTACAAGCACTCAGTGGGATGAGTTCCACTTTCGTTTGATAAAAGTTAGTTATTGGGTATAAAAATTGTGAATTAACACGGGCTCCCTGGTACTGAACTGTTCTTATCTTTCCAAAGCTCATTCTGAAGCATGTGACAGAAGTCAAGTGCTGTATGGTTTCACTATCACTATACAGCTAGTCCTCACTTAAGGCAGAGTTACGGTCCAAAGACGTTGTCGTTAAACGATTCCGTCGTTAAACAAAACCCCCGGTCGACTGTCAAATTTGCCATTTCTTTTACTTTGTTTTTGTCCTTAAAATTAAGATTGTCATATGTGAGAAGCTATAAATGTTAGCGATCGCTTGGACTTTCTTACCTCCCTCAAATCCCTATTGATTTTCATTTTTATGTTCATTTTTTTGACAACTCTGCTGCTCATCGTGACAGTGATTCCTTGTCGCTAAACACGCACTTTTACGTTTCAGAAAGCCTGTCGTAACTCGGAGCCGACGCAAAACAAATACGTTGTTAAGTGCGGACCAGCTGTACCATCCAACCATCCAACCATCCATCCATTCATCCATCGCCATCCGCTCGATGATGTCTCCTCTCGATGGAGAGGAGCAGCTCCTCCCGGGTGACAGAGCTCCTCACCCTATTCCTAAGGGAACGCCCTGCCACCCTGTGGTGAAAACTCATTTCAGCCGCTTGTATCTGGGATCTTGTTCTTTTTGGTCATAACCCAAAGTTCATGATCATAGATGAGGGTTCTGCCAAAATGTTTAGATCCATCTTTTTGGTCATAACCCAAAGTTCATGACCATAGATGAGGATTCTGCCAAAATGTTTAGATGTTTAGATTCAGTTGTAGGGCCTTTTCATATTGCTGCTAATGCCATAATTGCCATCATTTCAGTGGATGTTTTGTAGTAGTTTTTTAGTGTATGGATTGTTCCAGATTGTTGTTGGATGTTGCATGACTTGATAAAACAGTTGCATGTCCTGTCAACACCCATATCCTTGCCAATGAACAATTTCACTCTGGTTTTTTTGCTCAGTAAATGACACCAAAACTTAATGGTGCAAGGTTGGTGCAATGGATGGTGCAAGGTTTTATTGAAATTACCAGTCAGATGTGCTGTTGCAGAAAAACAAGGAGGGACATGATGTGATTTAACTGGAGAAGACTACGCTCGTCTACAAAGAGAACATCACAGAAATCAAACATCAAACCCGACCCGGCCTCACAGCACTGTGCAGCAGTGAGGCGGTGTTTATTTACAGTGATTTCACGTCAGCATTCTTCTGCAACGCAGGAGGAGGAGTAAAAAGAGAGTAGGAGAGGGAAGAAAGACTGCGAAGAGCAACAGGAAGAGGCGCGAGCAATAGTAAAAGGAAGGAATTTTTTTATCGTGACGAGTAGGAAGAGTGGACAGCAGCAGCAACAGACCCAAAAGTGTCTTTGAATGATGATGTGTGATGAAATATAGGAGGATGAAAAGTCCAAAATAAAGCATTTCCTGCAGGACTGGCTGAAAGAGAATTTTGTAAATGCTCAGTTTCTTTAGGTCTGACCCCTTTAATTTTTGTAAAAAACAATTATTGAAAACAATTTGATTTTATTATTAAGTATATGACATGACACATTTTCTCTCGACATTTTTTGTTAAACATTTACCAGTAAGGCTTGGTAAAGTAAAGTGATGTAGATAGATAGATAGATGGATGGATTTACATTCAGCAGATGTTTTTTATCCAAAGTGACAGAGTAGGATTGACATTATCAAGCATATGGTTCCACTGGGAATCAAACCCCAGGAATCTCTGCTCTCTGCTTCCAAGGCCAGCGTGCTAACCGCTACATTATGGAACCACTGATGGATGGATGGATGGATGGTTGGATGGATGGATGGATGGATGGATGGATGGATGGATGGATGGATGGATGGATGGATGGATGGATGGATGGATGGATGGATGGATGGATGGATGGATGGATGGATGGATCAGCTGTCGTGCAATGTCTTCAAATAAAATGATTTGTGTCATGGCCATTTAAAGAAAATGCTCTGCCTCGTCCTGCTTCGGCTCAAGGGTATGCTAGCATGCTAGCTATAAGCGTACACACATACGTAAGTGCTTTTTCACAACATTACACAGCACGGTGATGTAGAAAAGCAGCTGGGGTTTTTTTTTTTTTTTTTAGGTCAACAACTTTTCTTCCATATGTATCTCGTACACCGCGTTAATAGATAGAAAGTATAGAAGTAGGATAATAGCATTTATCCAATCTGTTCTCCTACAACACAGCTCTACTCGTTAAGCTATGTGTAGTAGTATTTTTGGCTTCTCCGGGTGTATTTGTAACTCTGATTACCCAGCAGCATCTGCTGCGCCTGCTGCTGTTTTCTCACCTCTGTTTCCTCCATCCACCCATTATTTAATGCTTATTCCTTTGCAAGAGGGAGGGGGCCGGGGGGGCCATTGAAGCCTATCCTAGGTGTCGACAGGTGAGGGCAGGGCAGACCTTTGACGGTTCGAGCCGTCAGACCATTACAGGACCACATATATCCATCCATCCATTTTCATCCTCTTGTCTGTTACCGGGTTGCGGGGGGCAGCAGTCTCCACCCAACTCACACTGCACCGTACCACCCCCCATGTACCTTCCTGAGGGTGGTGAGTCCACTGGAAAGGAGCGCATATAGAGACAAGCAATCATTCCCGATTATTCACACCTATGGTCAGTTTACAGTGTCCGATCAACCTAATAATGGGCAAGTTTTTTTTGTTGTCTCTGATGATGATGTGTGTGTGAGTGTGTGTGTCATCACTTGTCATCACTATATTTCTGGTGCATTGGCATTATGGAATAAGAGCTGGCGCGGTTAAATATTTGATAAAGCTTCCCTCCTGTGTGGCTGCTCTCATATTTCGACGCCGCCGACAGAAAAACTGTTGTTCTGCACTGCAACTCTTTTCAGGCTTGTAAATCAAGGCGAGGCTTTGTCATTGGCATTTATTGACCCTGCAACATGTTCCCACTGTTTCATTAATTTTAAATGACGCTTTGTTCGCTTTACACTCGCGCGCGCGGAGAGCCATGCTTTACTTCTTGCTTTCACATTTCACCGTGACTCTGGGCCACTCTCATCCTAATAGTAGTAGTGGTAGTATTGTTGTGTATTTTTCACGCACAGAGTGAGAGGTCTGTCTGTCTGTCTCCCTGCCCCTCTGCTGTGGCAATCAGCTGTGATCACACTCACCTGTGTCTCTGTCATTAGTCTCACTGGTGTCACCTGGTGCCCTGGGTATATTATACCTCTCTCTCCCTCCCTCACTCACTCCTTGTTGGGCCAATGTGTTTGTGGTGTGTCCATGGTCATCCTGACTGTGTGATGTCTGGCTCTTCATTACTTTGTTCCCTGTTCCTGATACACAGTGAGTTTTGTGATTTTGGACTTTGCAAATAACCTGAAAAAAAAATCTCCCATGTGCTGCATTAATATCTTACGATTTGGGCCAAGACTTTGTGTAGTAAAGAATATAAACCGTGTACCTTGGGGGGGCAGTGGTGGATCGGTGGTTAAGGAAGCAGACTGGGGGTCCGGAAGGCTTTGGGTTCGAGTTCAGCCAGCTGTTAAGTTACCACTAAGGTGCTCTGAGCATGGCACCGTCCCCGCAAGCTAAGGCGCTGAAGTTGCTGCGTCACAATGACGAGTCGATCTCTTTCCTTCCTTCTTTCTTCTGTGTCTGGTGTCTGAGGAGCCACCCCCTCCAAGTTTAAAAACACATTTCCTTCCATATAAAAAATGCAGGCTAGATACTGTGTTCATGAGTCATAATTGAAACAGTCATGAGCCTTGTGTTAATTGATGAGATTTAAGCTGAAGGATAAGCCGTAGTTTGGATAAGAGCAGGATCATGGCTTAATTCCCAACAGTTGAAATCCCAGACTCTCTCGGCTTAATCTCGTTCACGCTAATGTTGTTAATCTTATTCATGGACCTAGAGAGCCAATAATGACAGCTTATTGGACAAAATTAGTGTTTCACCATGAACTGTGCCGAAATTAGCTTTCTCCACAGGGTGGCAGGGCGCTCTCTTAGAGCTAGGGTGAGGTGCTCTGTTTCACGGGGGAGGAGCTCGGAGTAGATCGATGTTCTTCTCCATCGAGAGGAGTCATCTGAGGTGGCTTGGGCATTTACATCGTATGCCCACCGGTGCCTGGGTTGTGTCCCCCACTGGGAGGAGACTCAGAGGAAGACCCAGGACACGCTGGAGTGACTAGATCCCCCCCCAGAAGTGTCTGGGGAGAGGGAAGTCTCGGTGTCCCTGCTCCGACTGTTACCCCCCCAACCCCAACCCCCCCAGGCCCTGGATAAGATGATGATGAGGATGAGGATGAGGATGATGATGATGATGATGGATGGATGGATGGATGGATGGATGGATGGCAGGGGTGTCGAACTCATTTTCACCGGGGGCCACATCAGCATACAGTTCCACTTGAACCCGTTGTAACTGGAAGACTGTATAGATTAGGGGTCCCCAACGCCCGGACCGCGGACCAGTACCGGTCCATTGGTCATTTGGTACCAGGCTGCAGTGGGACATAGTTAAAAAATGTGCTTAATTTTTACTAATTTACTTCATTTAAAGAAAGTCCAGTTGTCAAGCTGTAATATTAAAACTTTTAATATCTCAGGTTAAGCTCCTGCGGGCCACACAAAACGGCTTGGTGGGCCGCATTTGGCCCCCGGGCCTTGAGTTTGACACGTATGCTATAGGCCCTCTGGAAATCCTGGGTGGGTGTAACCCTGCTACAGCTTCCAGCCCCTCCCACTCCTCACACACAAGAAGCAGTAAAAGATCAATGAATGAATGAATGACAGACTTGGGTTAGCGTTGTTATCGGTTTAGTCACAGAGGCACCTTGCACTCGATCAATGAACCAGCTTATACGTGGACTCATCCGATCAGGTGACATTGCACATGATGCCAATTCTTATACTAGCAACAGCAGGCGCTCGACGTGTACTGTCCGAAACGTCTAACACAATTGCCTTCGCACTGGAAATGCCAGTGTTTTAATGATACGTGAAGTGGCCAAGGGAGAAATTACTTCGCATGAAGTTTGCCACTTCTCCACCCCGCTCTCGTTTTTGTTATCCAGATCCTCCTCCTCCTCCTCTTGTACCGCTTTCTCCTCCTTCTGTGGACTGAGGAGTTTCACCTCCGGTCTCCTCCTGAACTCTCGGGCTCCTTTGGTTTTAATACTCATAAAAACACTGTGAATATACCATGAGGTTTGTCCTGCCGCTGGATGGCTTTAATTGCGCAGATATAGAATGTTCCAGTGAAGATTTATGAGCTCTTAATGTGTTCATGCAGCCTGATTCATGAGGCTCGCAGTCAGGAGATGTATGATCCGACCTCCTCATCAGTCACAGCAGCAGAGACACCTTGATGCAGGATACAGATACAGGACTCGTTAACACGTGTTTAAGTTTTTTTTTTTACGCGCGTCACTGTTTGTTCATCTTCCGAGACATTATATTTAAAAATAATATAAAAAAACTAGAACTACAAAAAAAAAACAAAAAAAAACTCTTAGCCATTAGACTTTAATCAGAACCCTGTCGACGTGTTACTGATTTATATTTGTCAGCTCAGGATGTCAATTAGAAATGACATAATAACAAAATAAGAATAAAAATTAACCATTTCTGTTGTTGGACTTTTTTTTAATTGAAGTTTTAAGTTAAATATGTCTTTCACGGATATTCATAAATAAAATTCACAAATGTTGATTTATTATCTCAATCACGGATGTTCACGATTAATCACTGTCACGATTAATCGTAATCAAAAATAATCATGATTTAACATTTTTCATTATTGGATTTCAATATGTATTTTTTAAAATATAATTGCCTGCAACTGTAACCTGTAACTTTCTCTGATTCAGTTAGCATTTTTTTAAAACCGGTTCGGACTGAATATGTTACATGTTATATTTGTTGGCCAGCTTTAGCAATTTCAGAACATTACGTTTTTCAGTACATTTTATGCTTAAACACTGTATTTTGCACTTTGACAGCATATGCACACGGACACAGACGTGGACTGTAACATTGGTGTTACCGATTATCATCAAAGGATTCAAACAGCTGTGACAATGCGCTACGAAGCTCGTCATATTCTTGCACCGGAAACGTAACGTGTCAAATATAAATGCGCACATAAAGGTAGTCCTAGCGAATGTAACTAAACGTAGTTCCCGTATTTAACGTAAATGTCTGTAAATACCAGATTGACCTGTAGTAAAACTTGACATCCGTTCCACCTCAGTAGCTACTGGCCTAGCTCTAACCTTCCCTTCTTCTGATTAAAAATAATGAACGATCTCATCTGCACTGCTGACTCTGGTAACATCAGTCTTTTCCTCCTCATTGACCTTTCGGCATCCTTCGACACCACCTCCCACCCCATCTTTCTTCCCCAACCTGGCCTCGCTGAGTCCATCCTTCTGTTTTTCTGATCCTACCTCTCTGGCAGGGAGAAATTTCTCACCCATGCTGGCTGTTCCTCTTCCTCCACCGTTGTCAAACATGGTGTCCCCCAAGGCTGGATGCTTGGCGTTCTCCTCCTCAACATCTACATGCGCCCACTTGATATACTTATCCGCCGCCATAACCTCTTATGCAGATGACACCCAACTCTACATGAGCACAAAACCCTTTTTCTCACCCCCACCCTTCCCCCCCCCCCCCCCCCCCCCCACACCGGAACCCTGATCTCGGAGCTGCTTCCCTGAGTGTATGAAATAACGAGTGGAGACCAGCCAATGAAAACACAGAGCT